CAGGCTCAAAAAACGAAGCGAGTATAATTAGGATGGAAGCATTTTTATTGGAGGAAAAATAGAGCACTTTAAATATTATTTTATTTTTCGACCGGAACACGTGTCGGGAATATTTGTAAATGAAGATAATGGTCATTTTGTGACGGGGGCTTTGTCCCGTTCACATCCGGCTCTCGTTCGAGTATTTGCCTGGAAATCAGCAGAGATATGTCTTATTTTATTTTATAACACAGGGAAACAAGAAACATGAATTCTACAGGTGAGAAATTCAAGAAAAGAAACTATAAGAATTATTTCAACAGTAAAGCTATGAGACCTAGCTGCCAATCTTGTCCTGCATTTATATTCATGCGGTTGATGTAGCAAGATGGAGGAGAGCTCATTAGAACAATCATGTGTTCAGGAAGGCACAATTATTGCTAATGTAAGGCAAAAATAGTTCTCTAAAATGACTAAAAGATAGTAGTTTCATTTTGGAGGTGTTAAAATTTACAAGCCTTTTCTTGCATCCAGTTAAAAACTGGGGGTAATTTTAAAGATCACCTACCAGTTTTACTTTATCGATCCTATTGGACTTAACTATTTACTCCTGTCTTAATAGTATCATCAGCATAAATACCAAGTGGAGAATTTATGGAATCCGGAAGGTTGTTGAAGATAAGAAACCACAAGAATCCAAAGTAGAACCTGTCACATTAATACAGTGGTCACCCAGGAATCCCAGCATTAATGTCAAAGGATCCAGAAGTGTGGCCATTCAACACAACTCTCATTGCACTATTTGTTGAAGATTGTATCAAGTCAAATATATGGCCAGACATCATAGGCTATGATGTCTGGCCATATATGATTCATAGCCCTTGAGTTTCTGAAGAAAGCCAGTGTGTCAGACTCCTTTGAGATATCTAAAGCTACATCCTGAGCCTTGGCCTTCTTATTTAAAGACAATAACTTCAGAAGAGGATTTCTAACAATCTGGAGAGCACAAAATAGCAAGGTATTTGTTGTAGAGTTTGGAGATAACAAGAACCAGTTCAGGAGCACATTTCCTTATGACAATTGCAGAGATATCAAGTTTGCATGCCTTTGGTTGAGCAGGATGAGCAATAACTGAGCATTACTAAAAAGGCCAGGGTGCACAATGTGATAACAAAGATGAGGATATAAGTCCTCATATAAATAACTCATCTCAGAAATTTTGACTGAAAAATGACACTATTGATAAGTTTTATAACCTTTAATATCTAAGCTTTTCTGTAAGCATTCTGTTCCTATTTGTTTGCTAATATATATTTATTTAGCAAATCGCCCCAAGTAAGACAGGAGTGCTACTAGCACACAAGGGGTTACAGAGAGTGAGAGTAAAGAGGAGTGTTTGTGGAAAAGGAAAAAACAGGGATCAAGGTCAAGGCATCAGAAGATGTCAATTGACATTACATTTGCAGATTATAGCTATCAGGGAAGCAAGTGATAGGGAGTTCCACTGACAGGAGATGTGAGATAAGCTGTTGCTACATTTAGTCATTTCAACAGTGAAAGGGTGGGACTGAGATACCAATCTAGTAGCACACTTAAATTCATGCAATTTGGGAACAGTGAAAGTAGCTTGTTGGAGCAGTTGGCATGAAATTACTTGTAGAAAAGAGGGAAGCCACAGTATGTCTGAGATAGCGACTGCAGACAAGGACGCCAGATCAGAACTGACCGTGTTGCATATCCGTCCCTGGATTTTTGTCTAGGACCTCGCGATGAACAGCGGAATCACAAGATCATATATGGCAGCAGTATTCCATGCAAGGATGAATGGTTTTGTAGATTTGAAGGATGGACTTGGGTGAGAACAACCTTCTAATGCAACTCGGAGAACCAACTTTCCTTGCGATAGATGAAGCTATAGATTTGATGTAGTTGTCCCACTTCAGGTCAGTAGTCAGCGTGAGACCAAGCAGGCACAGGGAGGGTTCTCCACTGTGGCTAATATTGAAGACATTGACGTCTTATCTCCTGTATGTGCAGCAATTATCTGAAATAACCATCCAGACTGTCAAAGACCCACAATCAACCATCTATTAAATGAGTCTAATTGAACAAAAGTAGCACATTTACACCTGTCGCATGATACCTTCTTGTATTCAAATCATTCACTACACTGAACAATATTGTAATATTCATCTAAAGCTTGGACAGTACACTGGTATAAGTGTTGCATCACAAGATGGCTAAAGATTTTGAAAATCTATCTGCATATCTCTTACTCACTAACATGCCCATACTGTAATGAAATCAAAATTGACACCATTTTATATATATATATATATATATATATATATAGTAAATGCTTTGTTTAATATAACAAATGAAAGTTTTTTTTATATAAGAAGTTTTGTTTAATTTGACTTGTGGCATTTATGTGTATTGATGTGAAAAACTTATTTGTATTCAGATAAATGTGGTTGCAATTCTATCATTTAACATCTTCTCTGTCCATTGTTAATTACAGTGCAGCTGTGGATTATTTTACCTTTGTATTGACAGACAGTAAGAGCAAATTCACTTATGGCTTCTGTCGATATGCAACGGGTGCTCACACCTGCCTGTGTATACTCAGGTAAGTTTATTTTCTATATTTTTAACTTTTTGGTGACATGACACTATTTCTTTTTTCTTTTTCTTTTTTTTTTTACCAAGTTATCAATCTTCACATATTTTAAAGTTGGTTTTTCAAATGTATATTGATTTGAGCATAAATTTTGTCAGAAGACAATTCACTATTCTTAGTTGACTTTTAAAAATGAAAACAATCCTGTACACTTGACATCATGCAGCTGTGTTTATAATTTGTTTTGCTCAAGTTGTCATGAAACCAAAATTTATTTCCTGTCTCAGGCTGACCTAGAACTCTGCTAATGAAAATGACATCATGCTCAGATTATTGATATTTTTTCCTGTTTGATCAGATGCCATTACTTGTTCTAAATATTACATGTTCTCTTAACATATTCAAATTTGGCAATGATTACATTTTCATGTTTAACATTCTTTATATTAATTTACCTTTTGATCTATTGTCCATTGCATAGCAATCAAGAAACATCTACAGAACAGTGATTCTTATTCTAGGGATTCTTGATTCAGATTTCTAATTTATTAATGCAATAAATGTATTGATTTCTTGCCGAGTTTTATATTTTGAATATACATTATTTAAAATATTTGCTAACATTAAGTCATCATATATGAGAATAAGAGCTAATTATATTGCCTTTATAAGTTTAATCACCTAAATCTAGTCTCCTATATCTGATAAGGTTAAATATGGATAAATTTGTTGCTTTATTTTCTTTAACTCTTACCATTAAAATTTTATTCTACACTTGAAAATTTATTTTGACTTACAAATTACCTTTTGAAAAAAATTAATTTGAATTTTATAGATTAAAAATGAATCATTTTTGTTCTTATCTTAGTACAAACTATCATTGATAACTGGAGCTGTTCAATTTTCCTTTGTGAGATTTACGTATGCTATAAAATGGTATTAAGAAAATGGTTATAAAGCATATTGATAGATTTAAACCATTTGGTTGATTCCTTATTTCATATATGACATGTTATAATTTATATTTGCTAGATATTCAAGATGGGCTGTGAAAAAATGCCAAAATTTCTTACATTAATTTATATTGTTGCTTGCTTCTATTTACTCCCAAATCTGGGATCAAAGTGGAAAACTAAGCAATTTAATTAAAAATTCCATTAAAAAAAACTTTTTAACCTAATTTCTGATTCCAAAAATGATTCTTTGTATTTTTCTTTTAAAACTAAATTTCCCATTCCTGACACTTATGTTAAAGATATAAAATATTTATTGATTTTAAACTATCAGTAAAACTAAAATCTATAGATCATAACACATAAGTATGATGTAAATTTATTTTACTTGTTATTAAAAATGAAATGTGCAATTTTCTACTCAGTTTTCAAACTTTCCATAAAGTTTGAGTTTAAAGTCTGTTTCAGTTCAAAATAAAATTATTTTTAATTTCTTTTTAAACATTTTTAATTCACCCATTTAATATTATAAATTATTAATATAAACAGAAAATGAGTTCACATTGTTCTGTTGAACTCTTTTAAGACAATTTTTATTTTTTTTTAATTTATAAAAATAAAAAAAACAACAAAAACGTCTGCATTTAAAAAGCTAGAAAAAAAATTATAATCTTATTTAAAATTTTACTTTAAAATTCAAATTTTCAATTAAGTAGAAATTAAAATCCCATATAAGGAGTTTCAATTGAGATACAAAGGATCATATAAGGATGGTGGTAGGTGTTTGCTTTGGTGGTAATTACATAAAATAGGGAGTTACTTTTCAATCACCCTGTATATTGCATTAAAAAATATAAAAAGTAACGATAATGTTTTTTCAGTGGTGGAATAAATATGTAAGATAGTCTCTGAAGAGAGAAATTATCTTCTAGCATAACACAGTGACTCAACTTTCTTAGCAACAGACCTCGCAATGGATTCAATATAATCTTTTCACTTCATGTAAGCCTGAGAAGGTACAACAAGTCACTCTCTTGGAGGTTAGCATCAGCCATGCTGATGGGCAGTAGAAAGGAATTTCTCAGATGATCAATAGAGAAGTTTAATTTTGGGGGCATTAAAATTAACATGCCAATCCTTGCCTCAGTTAACAAACTGTAAGTCATTTTTTTTTTTGATCACCTGTCAATTTGACTTTATTGAACTTGATTAGGTTTACTGTCAAGACAGGAGTAAATGGTTGTCATCAGCTTAGATACTAAGTTGAACTACTGAAAAATATCTTTTCCAAGAACTTACAAGGTTTGCCTACATTTATCTTGAAACATCCTCAATTTTTAAGGTATAATTTTACTGCTTGCACTACTGGCTTAAGACATTTCTCTCTGACCTTTCTTATCTGAGTCAGAAATTTTGGATTCCCAAGTTTTCATTACTGCAAATTTTTTTTTTTTTTTCTGGCATTTTGAAGCATAAAATTTTTATTTTCAATCATTTGTTTGGTTGAAATTAATACTATGAATTAATACTATGATTAACTATAACCTTAGTATAGTATTTTATTTGCATTTCTACTTGAATATTATGACATAACTTAAGTTGAGCAAGTATTGGATTTTATAATATAATTCTTTTTTGTTGAATAATACTTTCATGATAGTGATAATCAAAAAGAAATATGACTTTGAACATGGACTAAACACGTTCTCTTTATGTTGATGATTAATGTAATGTGATTCATGGTTTCAGTGAGCAATTGATTACAACATTTCTCTTTTATAATAGTGTAATTTAAATTATTAATATTGATTTTATTTGAAAAACTAAGCTTAAAAATTCCTGTTATTGTTTATTATAACCAAAAATGCAAATAATTTTCACATGACTTGCCAATTTCTGCATCCTCTTTCTCGATCATAAGGGATGCAATCACACTGTTTCTGCTGCTGTAGTTTTAGTAGCAAGTAGGTTTTTAGGAAGTGTAGTTACTTCTCATCCTCCTGTTTTGAATTCAGTTGTTCTTCTAGAAAAGTTGCTAACCAATGAAGGGTAGAGAGATTCTACTATGGCTTTTGATATTTCATTTACAACTGGAGAAGAGATGGTTTAATGGCTTTTCCAAAAGATATTATTACAAAGTGAAAAGAATTTGAATTCTGCTCATTAATTTCATTTTGCATGCTTTTAATAGTTCAAAACACTTCACACCTTCAACCTTCACATAACTGAACATGTTAGTAACAATGCTTGTCAAGATGTTGAAAATATTAACTTAGTGACAAAAAATTTGATTGAATGTTGTTTATATCACAAGGAAAATTTTTGAATGAAATAAAATTTTGAATTATTTTTTTTTCAAGATTAGCTTAATCCAATTTTTGCAAAATTAGATAAATTGTTAAAGGTTAATGAAGGAAAGTTAAGATGTACAGGTAATTTCCTTTTTTCTTTTTCCTGTACAACAGTTTTCAGAGGAAAATGCTTCCCTGTAACTGCCCTATTACATACCTATTTTCAGTCATCAGAAGCATCCATTTTCACTTCTTACATTGTAATATACATTAAGAATACCATTAACTCTGAAGTCACTTTTCATGGTATAGTTTATAATTATCAAAGCTGAACAAATTCTGAGGCTTATCCATTAAACAAATAAAAATGACCTGCTTTTATATGTTCTTTATAAATAAACCCCTTTTAAACATTGGGAATGCTAAGATGCAATGAATATCAACAGCAACATTTGTAGAAGTCTGTCTGTTCTTCAGTCCTTCATGGGTCAATTAGCAATGTCACAAGCCAAGGTGGGATGCCATGTTCAATGTCATGGTACTAATAGAGGTACCCGGGTGGGTTTTCTGCTTCCATATCTAATTGAAGCTAAAGATCAACAAACTGACCTACTGTATAGGCATCTGCTATCCACTGCATTGGATGTAATTTGAGCCAGTGTTATTTGTCTGTTACTGCAGACAATTCTAGCAAGATGCCTCTGGTCAAGATCATTAAGGACTCATGGCTGACCACTGCATTGTACTGAACCCTGTGGGTGATGATACCGTACATCTGGCATTTGTAGTACACACTTGACACTTTAGATAGGGGGATGTCAAATGTCCCTACAATTTTTTTCCCCACAATTTCAAAAATGGAATATACCATCCATTTGGTATCTACTACCATGCCTCATTCAAACTTAGATAATTTCTAACTGGTGTTCACATGAGCTCACCAGATGTTGGAACACAACCAATATAGGTCTGGGAATTTCTATGTCATGGTACAGTGGTACTACCTACAGTTATATACTACCTACCTATGACTTTTAGCACATCAGTGTTCATATATACCAATGTATTACTTCCTGGTCCTCTGCCTAGGATCAAAGTATAGTATCTGTGTGCTCTGTGGAAAAGTTACATTAAAAAGGCACATACAGTATATGTATGTGAATAGTATTTTTCCACTTTAGGGTACATCTTTGATTAAAATTGTAGAACCTCTAAAAACCATGTGGCTTATTTTTAATTTGTATTTCAGCCCTCTTCCTTGGTTCGAGATCTTTTATCGGTTCCTTAACCTTTTGGCTGAGATCAGTAACCGAACTGAAAACAATGACATCACTCACCTATTGGGTGAAGCATATGATGTTGTTGTTCCGGATCCATGTAACCAGGTGACATTGGTTGCCCAGGAGGAGGTAAATAGATCTTTTCTTTTTTATCATATCTTGTTTTGTATCAATGAGAAAAATGGGAGCATGCAGTAAAATAATACTAGCAGAAACGTTTTTCTAACTTAGAAAATTATTTAAAATAAAAATTTGTGTATGTGACTACATTTATTCAGGGGTAAGTTGTTCTTTTTATTATTTTTATTATTATATACTAACAGAGCTTTATGCATAATCTGCATACATTTAATTTAACTTTCTTCTAATAGAGGAAGAGTTAATAACTTGTACATAAAAAAAAAAAGCTCTCTTAGCTTAGACAAATATATCAAACATAATTCACTTTAATGTATTTTATTTTTTTACACTTAAGTTATTTCTGTTTTGTGTGTTTGATATAAATGTGGCTGGTACTAGCATTTTTCAAAAATAAATTTAATGTCTCTGAAAATTCTTTTAGATATAGAAATTGTTTTTAAAAATGAAGAAACCTACACCAAAACATGGAAAAAAAAATTCTTAGGCTGTTATCATACATTTGTCTTTCTATGTATTTTTAACCTTTTATTATTTATCATTTAATTATTTTGATAGCTTTACCTTAAATTTGAATAATTTTTTTTTCTGCAAATTTATAAGACTGTAGAATATATTTTTGGTTAAAAAAATTTGAAGTTAAAAAAAGCTTTTGTTCAGAAATGTGAGAATAAATATTAAGCCATAAACAGCTGCAATGAAGATTCATTCTGCAATTTTTATCAGCTATGAACCATATTTATGTTGAAGCAGATATATGTACATGATATTTGAATTTTATCTTCATAAATGCTATATTTCCTATAACAACAAAAATCTTTATAGATTTTGTTTACTATTTTTCAATATGTCAATTTCTTTTTTTTTTTTTTTTTTTTTTTTTTAATAGATGTTTACCTTTACTGCCCCAGATACAAATAAGCTGCCAAGCATTCCAGCCAGTGTATGTACACATTTAGCTTAATTTTTTGGAAAGTTTTTCATTTCTTATTTCCTTGCCTACCATTTGTATGTAGCAAACAGGACAGTGATTTTTTTCAGAATTTTTTTTTTTTTTTTAACAGACCATCTTCTGGTGTGTTATTCTATAAAAATAAATAAAGTACTTATTATATCTTGGAGTTATTAAATTTTTTTTTTCTTACAGTGTACCCATTTGTCCTATCCATCAGTGCTAGTAACTTTTGTGAAGAATATAGTGTAAAAGCACTGGACCTGTCGTATTTGTTGGTAATTTAACTGAATGTTACATTTTTAATTTAATGGTTACTTTTTAATAAGAAACTCAGTTTTTTTTTTTTTAAGAGTTTCTTAAAAAAACTTTGTGTGACTGTTTGAAAACTCTTATCTCTTGAACCTGTAAGGTATATGAAAGGTTTCATTGTATGCACACATGCTTAATAGTGTAAAATTATGGAAAAAAGAAGAAATTGAACATTGACAATAACATTATTAGAATTAACATTAAAGCTACTATTATTTTTTATGTAGTTTTATTTTGGTTTTTTTTTTGGGAGGGGGGTTAATGAAAGTTCTGTTAAAGCATTACATTAACCTATAAATTGTTTTATTATTGTTAAGCTTTGTATTAAAAAAATTAAATAAACTGTGTTTAGGTAACCTTATTTGTGACAGCCTCCTATATTCTCATTTCTTGTATCAAAGAGTTCTAAGCTTCACTTAATCATGATTCTGATTTCCTCTTCTGTCATAAATATGTAAAGAGGAAAAAACAATTTAATCGATACCTAGAAAAAAATATCATGCATTGGTCTACCAAAAAAAATAACCTTCAACTCAAATGAAAGAAACACATGATTATGCCCCCCATTTCAATCTGAAAATGAGATTTTAGAAGCAATGATTTCATTTCTTTAATACATTTAGATTTTTTTATTTAGTCTTGTTAAAAAAACAAAAAATCATTTTTTATTCCCCCCAATAAAATTTTACCATTTGATTTTATTGTTACTGTTGTGAGTGACCAGCTATTCAAATTTAACACTTTATTTACTAATTTGATTTTTATGCTTGTTCTATAGTGATGTTTATACTAAAAACATTTGTAACTAAAACAGTTTTCATTATTTGTAGTTTTAAATGTTTATAAAATTGAAAGTTCTATGCTAAAAATAGCAAAAGTTCTGATTATATATTAATAATAACTATGGTAACATAGACACGTCATCATAGGTAATTGTTCAGGCTAACTGTATCTATGATGCAATGAGTTCAATCCTCACTAGGTGCACCATGCTTGTGGCCTTGTACCAAAACTAAGTTTAGTTAACAACACTGGGTGCCCCATATTTGTGGCCTTGTGTCAAGCTAAGCTTAAAAAAATAACTGATAGCATTTCTTTTATAGATAAATCTGTTTATTTCCAAGAATTCTGAGTTTCTGTACTTATTGAATATTTATCAGAATTATTTTTTTTTTTTTTTTTTTTCATTTTAAAATATAACAATGCTATCAAGTGATTTTTTTTATTTATTTATAAAACTGTACAGTTTTCTCTTATTTTTATGTATGTATTTTCCAGAGAAATTTAACAGAGTATTATAATGCTATGGACACAGCTAACATGGTGAAGATATTTGCTTGGTAAGTGGCATCTAAAAATAGTTTTTCTATATGATTAAAGCTTTGAATATGTTCAACCATAGTATCAACACTTGTCTGTTTAGATGTTTACCCTCATGTCAGTACTGTCCATAAATGCTAACTAGTAAATATCTAATCACCTTGTTGTTGGTATCCCCCCACTCTCTGAATCATTATCTGTCTAGTGTACTTGTAAGAAATTACAAGTGTTTTCAGAACACCTTTCAAGTACAACTTCATTTCATTCATCTCTCTTGTACACCTTATCCAAACAAGTGAAATAATTCATGTATATCCTCGTCATCATCATACCTAATTTTCAGTTATTCTAAGCATCTTCAACATAGCTACTTGGAGTTTACAAAAGCAAATCAATAAGTTTATCACCTGATACATAGCTATCAGCTGAATTTTCATCTGAAGTTTTCACTGTATAATCAATGCGATTAATATACAACTGTGAAATAAGTGTATTTTTTAAAAATATTTGTGTAAAATGCTTCTTTTTTTTTTTCTCATGGACTTGTGTAAAATAGACTTCTATAAATTAAGCTTGCAAACTAAAGCCAATTTATGTGAATGTATAACCAATGACTATATCTTTTAACTTTTAATTTCCTAAATTAAAATTTTGTAAATGTGCAAAGTTTTTGAATTTTTTTTTTGTTTTTATCATTAAATTTTCTAACAATTATCAAATTGTCATAAACTTTTCTAATATAAAGTTTCTATTTGAATCCCTTATTTCAGTTTTCTTTCCCCACTCCATCTTTTTCCCTTTAATGTTTCTGTTGTTTTCATTCCCCCTCCCAATTCCAAACTGAACTCCATTTATTATACACAACATTGTCACTGCTTTTGCAATATATTAAATAAGCTGCACATGTGTACTCTTTCCAAAATAAGTAAGAATAGTAACTGTGGCCAGTGTATAACTTTTCAAACAATTGTTTTCAGTTCTGAGATTAAATATTTTTTAGATTATGTCTCCCCAACAAGAACATCAGTTTAACAAGGTCACAAGATGAGATAGGAATAATTGTTATAAATAAATTGGTCTTACATTTGATCTTTTGATATAAAAAATCATTAATTGCAATTTCTCTGTTAAGATGTCATATTAACGAAAATGTTGTTGGAAATATAGAGGAAAGTAATAATTCAAAAATTGTGTTTAGGATTTTTACAATTGTTATTGCTGAGCTGATCACTTGAAGCACCGTGTCTTTATTTAAAAAAAAAAAAATCAAATTTTCTACTGGAGAAAATATTGGGTTCTTGGATTTTATAAATGAAACTCGCATAACTGGGGGTAAAATTAGGAAATCTGCCCTGGTGTATTGTTGTTAATGAGAGTAATGAAAATTTAAGCTTTTTTTTTTTTTTTTTTCTTCCCCTCTTTTATACTCTTTTATTTGTCTGTCTATATTTCTGAGATGAGGTATTATTTACATTATTTGGACTATTGGCCTCATCTTTGTCGCCATATTTATCACGACATTTCGGTTGTTGTATGCTCCGGCCTTTTTCAGGTGGTTGGAATATTGAATTCACACTCTTTGGGTCTTGTCACTGGAGTGTGTTCAATACCTGGTTAAGGCAGTGGAGAACTTGGAGAGGGAAAATTAACAGATAACTGATAGCTGACATCCATTAAACATGGCATGTGGAACTAGAACAGTCTACCCCAGTGAGCGAAATAAAGGGTTCAGTTCGACATTCCAACCACCTGAAAAAGGCCGGAGTGTACAACAACCGAAACGTTGTGATAAATATGGCGACAAAGATGAGGACAATAGTCCGAATAATGTAAATGTACTCTTTTTATTCTTTTAGTTTTCTATTTAATTTTTTCTATTTTCTTTATCTGCCACTTGTCAAACATTCTATATTTCTTCAGTCTTTTTGTTGCTAATTTAGAAACTTTCATATTTTCAGCTTGCTCCATGAGCGACGAGTTCTCTTTACCTCCAAGAAATTAAGTCGAGTGACAGCCTGTGTCCATGCAGCTGCTACTCTCATATATCCAATGAACTGGTATCTATTAATACTTTTTATTTATTATTTCTAAATTTTACTTTTGGCATTTGTGTTAATGTAGCTAAAAGAAAACACTAGTTGACTATCAGAAAAAAAAAATCTTGTTCAAGGAAGAGAATTTTGTAATGAAGTTATAACTTCATTTGCTATATTTCAAAACATGGAAGATATTTTTTTTTTCTTTTCAAGACGAAAACATATCAGAATAGAGTGATTTTGAAAGCCAGTATTGGAATTTTTCATTAATGGCATCACTAAACAAAATATTTCTGAAAAAATTGAGTATTTTGTATCTTACTTTTTTAACATCTCTTGTTTTTTGCTTTATGCAGAACATAAATTTACATAATGAGGTTAAAAAAAAAACATCAGCTTATTTTTTTTCTTTTGTCAGAAATGTTTATTTGAAAATTTATATTGTTTACATTATTTTTCTTGGCTTTTTTGTTTGTAATGTTTAATTTGTATAAAATCCATCCAATTATGGATTGATAATGAAGGCCAGTTTAAATGAATTAAACTGAATATACCTTAAATTAATTGGCATAATAAAAAGAGAAGATAAATGCAATAAAAGATCTTTAAGTCTAAAGCCAAATTCTATGTGTGAACACACATAGATAAATGAGCAAGTTAACACTGGTAGTTGTGTTGCATACATACATACATATTATTGAGTTTCTTTTGAGGAATTTCATTATTAATGTTTCAGAGCCAATTTATTATTGACTCTAAAAGCTGATATTACCTTTTTTTTTTTTTTTTTTTTTTTTTTCTTCTCCAGGCAACATTTATTCATTCCCATCCTTCCTAATAGTTACACAGATCTTCTTAGGTAAGTGGATAAAATAAGTTTATGCCTTTCAAAATATTAATGACATTTAAGTTGGAAGAAAGTTATTTTTATGCCTCGTCTTATGGCTTGTGCTGAGCTCCCAGATTTTTATCAATATTAATTATTTGGATTGTATCCTCAGCATACAAACATGGAATTCAAAAGATTGAGAAAGGAGGGAAGCTACATTTTATTAATTTGGGAATTCTTAATATTTTGTCTGCAGATGTAGCTTGTTTTGTTTTTTTTAACTCCTTATAAAACAATGTTTGTAAACATTTATCACCAATGACTACAATTTACTATGTAAAGCATTAGACTTTAATTTCATGATTCAACTTGTTTAATTTAAAAATAATTCTGCACTTGGAAAGCTTTGGACTCTCTTTAATATATAGATACATTAATAAGTTTACAGCCTAATGATGGAAGAAAAACTATATATGTTGCACAATATAATCTCTATCATTGTCAATGCACTTAAATCAGTGGTGAATATTCAAAAATGAAAATTCAGCTCATAACCTACATGTTAGGTTACAAACTTATTGATTCACTTGTGAAAAGTGAATACCATCTTATTTGTTTTATCATCTCAAATAAAATTGTTATTCACCAAATCTCTAATGGCTGGTGCTTTGCTTAGAAATTAAGTATATCAAAATATTCCTACTTAGGATTCTTCTCCCAAATAGGTATTGGTAAAATAATAGGGCAAAATGAGCTCCCTTGAAAGTGAGAAGAAAGGATTAAACATCAACTGCAGGAAGACTGAGTGCATGGTAATTAGCAAAAGGATGAGCTCAAAATGCAAATTACAAATCAGATATCAAAATCAAACAAGTAAAAAAAAAAAAAGATTTAAATATCTGGAAAGAGGACAGAAAGTGTGGTATTGAAATCTGAAGGTAGCTTGGCCAAAGATGTTTTCCAAAAGCTAAACAGAGTACTAAGAAACAGAAAACTGTTAGAAACAAAGAAAAGAGTATTGAACTGTTATATCTGGCTTATATGGCAGGGAATGCTGGATAATCTCCTCAAAGACTAAGAGACTTAAAGCAACAGAAATGTGGTTCTACAGAAGGATGCTGGGGATACCATGGACCAATCATGTGAGCAATGAGAAACAAATGGAAACAAAGGAATGAGAAAATGGAAACAAAGGAAACATACTTAAAAATCAGGAAGAGACAGCTGAAATTTCTAGGACACAAGGAAAGAGGGCTTGGAAAATCTGATACTAACAGGATAAATTGAAAGTGAGGGACAGGAAAACCATGCATAACATACTTAGTAAATGGATAGTGGAACAGGGTGTGGGATAAATGACAAGAGCTAGAAAAGATAGGAAATTGTGGAGGGCTATGATCGCCTACATCCTGAGGGGGACATGGCACATGAAGAAGCATTGGTGGGGGAAAACTAGTTGAGGACAACACTGAATTCAGAACCATGAAAAAAGCAATGGAAAATCATATGATTGTCTTTTATCAAGAATAGTCATGTCAATGCACAGTATACAGAAAAGGGACTGGAGAGCTGTGATCACCTACATTCTGAAGGATCATATTTCAGAAAAGTTTCATACTGTACAGGATTATTTTCAAAAGTTTTCTAGCTACTGATATTTTATATAAATTGGAGGTTTGGTGTGGTAATCCTGCAATATTTTTATTGGCATTTCCAGATTTATATACGATATTGACTTTATATGGATTTGACTCTGTGCATTCCAATCCAATGAAAGAATTCTAATGTCATTGAAATGTTTATTCATTAATCTATTGTTTTTCTTTGCGCCATTTCTACATGTTTTATTTTCAATCCTCTTTCAGCGCTCCTATGCCATATATCATTGGTGTTCATTCATCTATTATGGAGGTCAGTATCTGTTAATCTTTTAATATTGTCTTGGTGGCGTTTTGATATTTTCTACAATTAGAATTGTACAATGTTGAAGATATCAAATTGTTGTGAATCTGGTGGCTGTAATCACATACTTGATATATCAAGATAGTTCTTATATAGAATATTTCCCCCATAATGAGTTGTGTTTTTTAGATTTTTCAGGATATTAACTACCATATTTTCCAGCCTATAAAATACAATTTCCCCCGCATAGTATAAAGAAAATATTATCCTGCATCTAATAGGTATGTATCAAAAATGACATCAAAATAACTGCAGGGTGCATGGGTAGAAAGTTAACTGTTATTTATAATCAACTCGCCACAAAAACATTGTGCCTAATTACTACTACATTACTACTAAAAAGATAAACAATTATTATTATTATTAGCAGCAGCCTTACCAGCATTTAAGGATTGAACTTGATCTCCTGAAATTGAAAAGCACTAGATGCTTGAAAGACAGGAACAAATGTCTGGCTTGCTCTTGTTGAATGCCATTTGACTATGCATTTTTGTTTGTGATATGACTTACATTCATCACAGTTGTTGTTATTAAAATTTATTATCTGCTTATCTAACTTTGCTTGCCTTCCCTGTTTGCTCCCAATAAAAAATTCAGAAAGCATTGATGTGTACAATTTTTTTTTTTTTTTTTTTTTTTATATTGGGTGAGTTTAATAGCACATCTCTACTTCAGACAAACCATTTGTCAGATGTCATTTTGTCAAACTGCTATCTGGAACAGGGCAAAAATAATTATTGGTTATTGGTTGGGGAAGGTTCGGTCTTTACTGTCAACATAGTAAAATAAGAGTCCTTAATTTCAAGGAGACAAATTCATTTAAAATGTTCAGTTGCTGTTGCTTTAGATGCTTGTTTCTTTGTTTTTGCTAACAATAGCATTTGACAAAGATGCATGAACTTAATAGGATTGAGTTTGTCTTGTGGTTCATACTATGAAGTTATATAAGCATCAAGTTTTATGAAGCGGCTGCAGGAAATGTTGGCATCTGTATTTTCTCATTGTTCTTCCCTTGCTGATTGTCCCTTTTCTAATATCACATTTGACCCAAGCACTGATTTGTTTTTTGTTTTGTTTTTTTTTGTTTTTATCAAAGTCTCTTAATCCCAGCTGCTTGCAATTATCAGTGATTTCAGGGGGTCTCCTTTTGATCAAGATGATTATGCCATTCACTGAAATTGCTGTTAACACTCAACCCATTGTTCCAATATTTTATGATTAACAGCTTCAGTGCAATCTCAAGAATCAGTGACCATAAAAAGAGCATTAATGACTTGATAGTTTGTGGCAATCCTTTGTTTACACTCTTTGTTAGTGATGACGATGTGTTACATCAATAATATTTCTTGATTGTTGATACTCTGATTGAGCAGCTGTAGCAATAAAATATTCAGTGGGAAAAGAACAAACACTTGATAAACCTGTCTGCTCATTATAATTGGCTTCCCTTCATACTGTCAATACTTGCTAAATCAGATCAGATGGTAGCTACAAATTCTTTCAGATATCGGGATAGAAAAAAAAATGGTTGTTTTATAAATTAGACTTCATGGCAAATGAGTTTGTATCACAGTTTTTGAAATGCTCAATGCAAACAACTAGTAATTGATAAGTGTCAATGGCATTAACAGAAGAAAAAAAAGGAAAAACTGTGATCCTTCTGCACTTTCTTATTGCCTACTTTGGTTGGTGCAAATGTTTTATTCAACAATGCTTTGCTGAAATCGGCCACTTTCATCAAAATTGTACAGTTGGTCATATTTATAATTTTCTTTATGGATGATGGATTCTAGTTTCTGTCAGAATTTTTCCATGATGCTGTCATCCATGGATGACTTCTTCATAAAAATGCAAAATTGCCTAAGGTCATCATGATTTTTGAAACTTTTAAAACTAATCTTATGTCATGATTGTTGTTTTATCAGCATGGATTCATTTGTGGAAATTGGGAGTTTTTAGCTTTTTTTTTTTTCTTTCTTACATAGGGATAGATTTTTCACATTGGGAGAACCATAAAAATATGGATTTGTCAAGTTTTCTTTTTCACTAGCTTCATTATTTTTTTTTTTCTTAGTGCACATGAAATATCACTTCGATAAATTTCTTGATCGTCAATTTTACTTCCCTAATATTTCTGCTTTTCCAATGATGTAATCTTTGCTGCCTTTTCACTACAATTCAAATACTGTAAAATGTAAATGCTTTTCTATTTGCCAATGCTGTTTACTTTCTCTTCACAAACCTGTAAGCAGGAATAAGATCTATCATTTAGATGGATATTGGAACAAAATCATAATGAAGACACCATGACGGATTTTGTCATGCTTTTATATAATTTTATTTTGTGTTAAAATTATTTCAATATGGTTTAAAGTGGTTATTTATCAAGCAGATTTTCACTGCAAACTCAGGAACTGCAATAAACTAAGCAAATTTCAAAAGCCACAATTGATTTGTATTTGTAATTATTTGTGAAACCTTGAAATTTTGTGCAGTTAATGTTCAATTGTACATTATTTTTATTCTCTTATTTACTGTATTTCCATATACAAAATTGTTTTTCTTTGGAATCACTTTCAATAATATATGATGAAGCCTACGAGAATCTTTTTTTTTTTTTTTTTTTTTTTTTTTTATCAAAATATCATTGTGAAATAGAAGTGTCTTAATTTTGGTAATATTTTTTTTACTTTTTTTACTCTTATTTGAAGTTGTGGGATCATTGAATTTGCCAGTGTGAAAAGATGGATGTAATTAAACTTTGTTGCATATGTTTATTACTGATTACTGAATTTGCCTCATCTCCTATGAGCCTTAAAAATAGAGAAATATTTTGAAATGATCCTTAAAATTTACCTTCAATAAAACTAAATATTAAAATTCTTAAAATATTTGAATTATGTCAACCTTGGTCATTTTATTTAATTTTTTGTGGTCAGATCAAAAGGCAATCAGTGAAACATTCAAATAGAAATGACAGAAAAATAAATCTTAGTAATTCATCTTGTTCTCAAATTATCTCCCTTTCTGTTTTTGATAACTGATACATTTTGTGCAAATTTTAAAATCTCATTGTTACATGGAAGTTTCAATTGATTTGTTTGCATAAGTAGCTCTTTTATAAATCATTACATTTTTTTTCTCAATTTATTTCTCTTGTTACTTGTAGTTTAACTCCTTAACAATCCTGCTGTGATGAATGATATATTCAGATATATTTCTTTCTTTTTTTTTTCTTCTTTAGAAAGCCAAAAAGTTAGATCTAAGTGGTGTGGTTATAGTGGACACTGATAACAACACTGTCACCCAAGAATATGATGATGTCAGTGCTCTACCTGATGAAATGGTAAATATAGTTCTTGAATATTCTCTTGTTTTAAGCATTTTCTTTATATTTTACAAGGAACTTCAAATTAAGACCCTTTTTAATTTTTAGTTTTTAAGAAATAGGTTCAATAAAAAATACAGACCTAATATAGCTAGAAAACATGTCGACTTTTACATTTTTTTTTCTTTCTTTATATACATGTGCCACATTGATGGGAAAGATTAAATATATTCACATGTCATATTCAAATCACATTTAGTTCTGGTCACTTTTACTACTACCAAGAAACTTGCAAGATGGAAGCCGGAATTCTCATGCAGTACTTAATTAGGTTATCTCACAAGTCCTTCATACTGATTTTTTACATGTGATCCTCCATGATTGTTCCTTTGTTGCCAAGTTGATTTAACATCTGTCTACATTTCTGAGATGAGGTATTGTAACTATTTATGCTGTTTGGACTTTTCTCCTCCTCTTTATTGCCATATTTACAATGGTTTCAGCCATTGTATTCTCTGGCCTTCATCAGGTGATATTTGTTGGAATTTCAAACTGAACTCTTTGTTTAATTCCACAAGCCTTTGGATATGTGTTTCAGTTAATTCCCCTTGATAACTCAACTCCAAATTTTTGTTTCCTCTGCTGTGTTCTGGTATTGAACTCACAACTCCAAGAACGCTGAGCCATGTGGATAAAAAGTGACTTGACCGAAAGACATCAGTTCGAACAGTGAAAATAGTGCAAGTTGATTTAATCACCAAATATCTGTGGAACACTGAAAACTAATGTGGTAGTTATTGATTGAATTGTTTGTCCATTAAAGTTAACACGGAAACTTCACTGTCTTAGTCTATTTCTCACATCAATCAATCATTAGTACAATTTTGTTATGAATTTTTCATCTTAATGTTTATTTTATGGAATATTTTTGTTCATTGTCTTTTTTTTTCCTCTACAGATTTACTAATCTTTTGTAAATGGCCTAATTAAGACTTTTAGAAGCAAATATTTGATTTTTTTTTTTTGTTTTTTTTTTTATTGCATCAGACTTTTTGCAGTGTTAAATATCTTGATCTTACCTATTGCAACTCTATATTCATCCCTTTTTAGAGTTTTTTTTTTTTTTTTTTCCAAATAAATGAAGAATCCTGGTTTAAGGCCAAAACCATTATTAAAACAAAAAACAGATTTTCTTATTTTTACTTCTTATTTGTAGTGCATAAAAACATTTAATCTTTTCATAATTTTTTTTCTTGTACAGCTTTCTATATTAAAAAAAATGTTACGCAATGATAAACTGAGATCTTCAATGCAATTGGAAGGAGATGCTATTTCTCGGGCATTCCTTATGAGTTTGGTTCGTACCATTGGTAAGTAGATCTTTTGTCTTTTGATTTCTTTTTATTTAGTCTCCTTTGTATTTTGGGTTTTTTTTTTTTTTTTTTTATTACTTTCTGGATTTGATTATTAATAATTTTGACTTTATGCGGTAAGCATTTTAAATAGTTTTTATACTTACAAGTTCATATAAAATGTTGACTTATTGATTTGTACCTATTGGAATCTGGGAGTATTACTTATTGTTTTTCTTACAAAGAAATCTTTAAAATTTACTGATGTACTTGTTTACATTTTGCACAAAAAATTAAATGGATTTAAAAAAAAAAAAAAAAAGAAAATGTAATTTTAAATTCCAAATTTTTATCGATTTTGTTTAAATGTGGATTTTGAGTAATTTTTGTTTGTGTGGTAATTGTAATTTTTTTGTTTTCTTTTAATAATTGGCAAATTTTCCTTGTTTTAGGAGGATACCGTGATGCTTTGAGGTTCCAACCCAATGAAAAGATTAGCTTCCAGAAAGATGCCTTTTTGCTCACACGGCCAAGTAGTATGCGGCCATTTCTTGAAGATCTCTTAGAGTTGCAAATATTCCATGAAGTAAGTAACAGACCAAGAATGTGATTATCATTTAAACAAATAAACAGAATGGTATGAGGAATTTTCACTATTAGAAATTCTTTTTGATAAATCATCTCCTTTGGGATGAAAACTTGATGTACTACCATACCAATTCTATTGATTATGAAGTTTATCAATCTGCAATGGCTTGAAGTTTCAGATTTTTGGAGGAATCATGAAAAATAAATGGTTTGCTAGGACTTTAAGTTATTATTTCGCTTTAATACTTGTTCATTTCAAAGTTATGTGGAAAAAACAAACTTATTTCTGCTTAACTATCATCTTTTTAGGTATTTGAATCGGTGTAACAGATGTAGATATTTTTTTTTTTTTTTTTTTTTTGTTGCCTTTGTGGTGAATGAGGATAAAGGGTAAGATATCATCACAGTTTAGTATCAATCAGAATATGCAATTGGTACCCCTACCCTGGGCCTGATATAGGCATTCGAGGCCCCTGGGCTAATAAAATTTTGGGGCCCACTTCATTAACTATATTGCCCTGCTCCCTCTCCAGTCTATGAAAAAAAATGTATTTTTAGACCTTTTTTTTTTTTTTTTTTTTTTTTTTTTTTGTGTAAAACATGAAAAACTTCAATTAAAAATGTTATACATATGAGATGCAGCAATATCTAAATTGGGGGAGGGGTCCACTTCAAGGTGCTCCATTTAATTAAAAAGACCCACTCCAAATAGAGGAGTCCAAATACTCTAAATTGTTTCATAATAGTTTAAAGGAGCCCTTAAATCTTAAGATAAATTTCCTTTGTTCTTATATCTTTTTTTTTTTTTTTTTTTTCCTTAGTTTTATCAGGTCTTGTGTCCCCTGGGCTGTAAGACCATACTAGCTTATTTGTAAATTTGCTACTGTCCCCACACAAATATTCAATTTAAATATGGAGGCAATTTGTCAAAGAAAGCTTTTAATGTTATGTTTATATGAATAATGATCTACATTGGTTCAATTCCAAAAGAGTAACAAATCTGCTTTCTATGGAGTCCTTTTTAATTCGATTTGCAAAAATTTGCTAACCTTAAAATGTTTATCAACATTTTCAACTATATTCTTAAATCATTAGTGGCTTGTTAGGTTTTCTGTGTGTTTTTTTTTTTTTTTTTTTCTCCTCTCCCTTTCTCCCCAAATTAAAAAGTGGAATGAAATGTTAGCCATCTGCATTTTTGTTGAACATATCATTTGTATAACCTGGAATGATATACTATTTGAAGGTTTGTCATTGAGTAATAAAATTGATTACCAAATTCACAAGGACAATGACCAGAGAAAACAATTAAGGATTATTCTAAATTGACAAAGAAGTGTTTCATTAGAAATTAATGTTCAGTAGATTTTTTTTTTATTTCTTAATGTATTTAAAATTTAATGGAATACATATAAATTGTATCTTATATAAATTTATTTGTTGAGAATGCAGCTTTGGTTAAAGGTAATTTTTTAAAAACACAAAAATCAAAAGGTTTTTAGAACTTTAGAAAAAAAATTGTTTCTAATCTTAAAAATTTGCCTTTATTTTTTTTACAATTGATCTTGAATTATCTTGTCATGAATTTAAAAAAAGTAAGGAAAATGTAAATTTATCATTTTGCAAATATTTTTCAGTTTATCAATGAGAGATTGGATATGTTAAACTGTGGAATTGGTTTCACTGATGTGTTTGAAAGGGAAGCAACTCAACATGCAGATAAGCTGAATGCTCATTCCCGCTATAAAGAATGGTTAGGAAATATGAAGGTAAATTGCTTGTTATGACCATTCTATTGACATACAATCTCATTTGGCATTATCTTTTACTATAGACATTCTAACTTAACCTGTTACAATAGATGTATCATTTTATCAATTTACAAAAATTTAAAAAGATGTGCTCTTTTAAGGTTTTTGCCTAAAGTTAGTTTACCTGAAATATTTTGCAAATATTAATTTAGTATTATTAACTTAAAAAATTTGAAAATCCATAATTTTTTTTTTTCTTTTAAACTGAATTTAAATCACTTTTGACAGCTGAGATTAAAAAAAAAAAAATGTTGTATATGCAAAAGTTCTTTTGTACTTTTTTTAAAATTTGAGTACCTTCTTGAAAAACTATTTTTCAGTGAAACACACGCATATATTTGGCAGTGTAATGAAAATGTTTTTAGGAAAAAATGAAATTTTTTTTATTTTTTTTTTTATAATTCTTGTGGAACATTTGTACAACAAATTGGAATACCAATGAAGTAAAAGATTGACTTTTTAAGTCTTTAGTGAAATTCTCATGTACATTTACAAAGTTTGCATTCTTCAATTTATTGTGTTATCAATTGTTTATTAAATCAAAGCTCTAAAGATTTTATTTGGATTCCTTTAATTTAAATTTTTTTCTATTTAGAAACAAGGTAAAAAGCTACAGAGAGGAGGAAAAGATATTTGGGATGATTTTAAAGTGAAGGTAATGCTGTGAACTTTTTTTTTTCTTTCTATAAATATTTATAAAATTTCAGTTTATAGAAAATTCATGAAGTTTTGTAACTTCTGTAAAAATATACTTTCTATTATAGTGAATTATATATTCAACTGTAGGCATAGCTTACTGTTAGAAATGGGGTTATGAAGTTGGAATAATTGGTTAATACATATTAACACACTCTTTCCTAAAAGGAAAAATGATTTCAGACCAAGTCTGTTATGAAATCTTGCATTTGTACAAATATATAATTTTAGTGATTGGGCATTTTATGGGGGTAAGTGTTGTTCTAAAAGCAAAAAATAAAAATTGTAACTTTTTGTTTGCTGATAAGTGTTTGATAATTTCAAAAATCAATGGCCTCCTTTATTTGCATTCTTTTATTCATGTACAAATTATCATTAGATATCATTGGGTTGAAAACTTTTTGACTCTACTTAAACCTGCAATAAGTTTTTCTTCTATTGGATAAGTGTATTCAGTATTTCATCAACCTGCAACCTAGAGCCTCTAACATTTCCGTTATGAATACTCTACTTCATCACTGAGCCATAACTGTATATACTAAAGTACAAGTTTAATTTCTGTCCCTGGTGAATTCTAATATGACAAATGGTGAAATTAAAATAAAAAAAATAAAAAAAAATTAGTATTCTATTCACAGATTAGGTCATACAATATACATGTGAGGCAAGCAAGAAAACACATTGGTTGCTGGATTGTAATTAAACAAATATGAAGATGTGAGGCAAAATAATGAAACAAAGGAAAATGTTGACTTAACTCTATAGTGTTAAAAAACAACTTAAAATGCCTCTAATTTTTAATTTTGGAGATGCTATTATTGACTAATTGCTGCTGTTTTTCATGTGTTGTTTCTGTAGAGATAGTTACATTTTTTTTTATGATCAATATAAACTTTTGTATTCTTTTCATATTTAATATCTATCAAATTTTCTAAAAAAACATAGCTTATATTTTAATATGTAGTTATTTTTATGCAGTATTGAAATGCAAGAGAAATATATTTTACTAGTATTTTTTTATTTATATATTTTTTGCAGCTTAATTTCAATTGCTTTTTATGACAATTCTTTTATTCTATTGTTAGTAAGCAGCATGCATTGGAAATAAAAATAAGCCTCTGGCAAGACGCACACTCATGCCTTTTTCTCAGGAAGTCTGTCTTGATATAACAGCTATCATATTAGGTTACAGAGGCCACTGGCAGCTGTCAAACCTAACCATATGGCTATTAACTTCATTGTTACCATTTTTATTGGTAGTAATATTTAAAGTTGTAAAATTATAAAGAATTTTAGTCTGTTTAGGTTTTTAAAGTTTAAAAGGAAATCACAGAAAAATATGACATGAATGTTAGCAAGAAATCCTGTTTGTAACAGAGTTACACTCTAGGTTAAGTGAGTGAACAGTTCAAACAAAACTTTTCTCCACACAAAGGTAGAACTTGATAAATTTTAATTTATGGTTGTAAATTTCTCTATTTAAAAATTTTGTAAGTAGTTTTTGTGTCTACTAATTGCTATGTTAGCAGGCCCTGCCCAATATAGTTAGTTATTTTGAGGCTGTCAACTGATTGAACCAAAAATATTGAACTGACAAAAATGTTAGCTTTCTCTTAATGTTCCTCTGTTCTACAGGCAGGTCCTGCTCTAAATACTGCTGTACAGTCAGTAAGTCTAGCTCTTTCTCTTTCTCTTGTTTTGCACAACGTTTCTACCTCCTGACCTCTGCGCTAACTTTTTTTTTCATTCTAGATTCCCCAAATCAATTGGTTTTAGTCTACATTCATAAATACATTATGAAACATTTACAAAGTATAGAATTTGTATTACAAAACCAAATTTATCATTTCGGTTTGATTATATTTTTTTTTTTTAGTGTTGAAATTGGTGAGCTCTCTTATTATCAATAGGTGACTTAGTGTAGGTAATCTTTCTCATAGTGACCAATTATCGTTAGATAACACACACACACACATATATATATATATATATATATACACACACACACACACACACACACAAAGGTCCAATGGATAAATTGTCATAATGAAAATAACACTATCTCATTTTAAGATATATTTACAAAAATTACACAAAATATCTCTCAAGAGTAAATTTATTCAATAAAATCACCATTAGCTTCAACCACAGCCTCCAGATGACTTTGGAATCTCCTGCAACTCTTCTGGATGGTCTCCTTGTTTAAGTTCGTGAATGCTGCCATAAGCCTTGCCTTCAGTTCATCTTTGGTTTTACAAGGAGTTTAGTTGGGCTCTTGCTCAACTGCACCCCACACATTAATCAAGGAGTTTGTAGTCTGGGGAGTTAGGTGGCCTGATGTAAGGGGTGATGTGGTTGCAGAAATTCTTACAGCCGTGACCGAGTTTTCCTGCTTGTGTGGCATGATGCAGTCCTTTTACCAGACTAAGGTCTTCCAGCAGCCAACCTCTTGACCCAGGGCAGCTCTACCTTCTCAAGGTACTTGATGTAGGCCCCTGTGTTGAGTCTGAGGCCTGATTGAAAGATGAATGGAAGCATAATGTCACCATTACTAATGATCACTTCAAACACCATGATGTTGACTGGATATATCCTCTGACTTTTTCCAAATTCTCTGGGTGTTAATCTGAGGAATGTGCAAATACTCTCCAATGTTTGTATTGGAGCTTCTGGCACAAATGTCAAGCAGCACCACATGCTGTTTCCAAATTTCTGGTGGAGTGAATTGTCATCATGTACTCTTTTTCTCACAGAACTGCCCAACTGACCCTACTCAAGTCATCAAAATCAAAAATAATCAATGTGCATGCACAAAATTAAAAATATAAAATGGCGACAATTTACCCATCGCACTGTGTGTATATATATATATATATATATATATATATATATATGCATGCCAGTGTCTGGACACTGATGTCAACACCTGGTAGTCGCAGTCTGTTTTATGTTTGAATGCAATCTTAATAGCCTGAAGATTGTGTTAAAACATGAAACACTATCTCTACTTGGTGTTGACCTCACAGTCCACTTTCATATTTACATATATATTATTTTCACTCTCGAAATATCAGCAGGTCCCTTCATTAATGTAAAAAAAAACAATTTTAAAAATTAGAAAAAAAAAACCCTACCTGAAGTGTTATTTGAAGTGTACATACTATTCAGTTCTTGTAAATTCAATTCAGCACAACAAATTGATGATCAGCTGTGTTTAGAGAGATAAATGAACAGTGTCCTTTTGACTTTACTAGGCTTATTGTGTCCTTGTTTGGCGGGGTGGTGGTGGTCTGTCTCAATGTAGTAGTCATATAGTTAGGTACCAGATTACCACCCCAACCATTTGAAAGAAGAAAACTTTCAAACACACAACCATCATTATAGTTGGAAACAAATGACTCCCTTTTCAGATTACTGTGTATTACAGTGAAACAGAACTGAGAAACTGGGAAACAGAATTGGGAAAAGGAAGATGCTTGTTTGAAATGCTTATGCAATAAACAGCTAAAATTAAACTACATTTCTTTAAAATCTTGCTAAAATATTCCAGTCTTCATTATTCCAAGACACATGTTGAACCTTGGTAATCCACCAACTTAAAACTAATGTTGGTGGATTCTCAGTTTTTGAGAATTGTAGCTGGCTTGGGTTTGCAATGTTTCAATCCTGTGTTTGGTACTGCTTCAAATTTTATCTAAACATAACAGAGGTGGAGAAATCTCATCTTGGATATCAGTGGGTTAATGACTGGGACAGTTGCATGGTGATCAGTGCTGATTTTTTCTTTTTCTTCCTTGTTTTTTTGTTTCTGATGTAAATGTAGCAAAGAGACATGTAGAGGAAAACACAAGGTGTAAAAGGCGTATTCCTGACAGAGGAGGACCCCCTGGGGTTCACCTGTTGGCCATGAATGGTAAGCTGTTATGTCTGATGATGGGTGCTTGCTGGCTGAGTAGTCCTTGATTCTGGAGATTAATCAGACATGTGAACTGCAAAGCTCCATTTAAGCTCTTTCCTAGTGCTAGACTGGTGGTTAGAGAGGCCCAATCTGATCACCTAGTTGCATCAAGCATATACACACATATTTACTAAACTACTTTGCTTTTCCCAGTTCAAATACCATCAGGATCAACATCAATGCCATATATGTGCCAGTTTTGTGACAAACTTGGAAAAGTTTTATACTATTTTTATATCAAATTAGATTAGAATTGACTTTCAGAACATTAAAAATATTAAAATGGATAATATATAAAAAAAAATCAATTTGTTTTGTTGATATTGGAGCCCATAGAACTCAGTTTTTCAATTTTAATGTATTGTGATCTAAATTCTTATTTTAGTTGATGTGTTTGTATTATGTTAGCTTTTCAGAAGATATTAAAATTTGAAGCAAAATTGGACTCTATTGAAATAACTACAGTTTAACCAAATGATAATCTTGAGAACTCATTGATCAGACCATTTTGAAAGCCAAAATCTACCAAAAGTACATTGTATTTATTTTTATTATTCCAATAAAAAATTAAATATTTTTGAAGATGTATTTTATAATTATCAAAATTACTAATTTATTCTGATTAGGATTTTCACTGATCTTTTTAAATAATATTGTTAAAAAAAAATGTATTTAGTTACAGGACCAATAGTTTTTGATTTGAGGACGACATTAAAGTCTCTTATTTGCATGTTGGGTTCTGGATGCTGGTGAAATGAAGTTTGTTCTGTATTGCCATTTAGAAAAACTAGACCTCTTTATACTTTCTGATTTTTCAACCTATATTCCAACTGCTTCTAATTCTAGTTAAACCTTTTTATTAAGAGTTGCTTGAAATACTTGTTAATTTTTTTTCCATGGCTCAAGATCAGACTTATTAGAAAATAACAATTTTATTGGATGCTTGCCTTTTTGCTGCCAAACTCATGTCTTTTTGATAACATAACCCCATACAAAGACACTTACATATTTTCCATGTTGATATTTCCAGTGCCTCTTTCTTCTGGCATTTAATAAAATATAATATAAATATTAATATACTGAAAACCGTTTAAATAATTGAGATTAAAAGTAATTACTGCCTATGAAGTCAATATTTTGTAGACATTTTCTTTAATACTTACCTAATTTTTTTTTAATTGCTAAATGTACTATGGAAATGTTATTGGTGGCTTATTTCCTATCTATGCTTTTAGTATTTGTTGTCATGCAATGATTATTGAATGAAAGTTTTGATGTATTTAAGAAATCTTGTGACATTGAAAATGATTTTGATATTTTGCAGAACGACAAATAATTTCAATATTTTGTTTATTTACATATTTGTATATGGAAGGTAATAAAATGAAAATGTCAAAATGAGTTCAAATATTGGTTGAGACTGCTTACATTCAACCCAAAATTAAGTGAAGGCATGAATCCACCCTATATCATCATTAGCTATCTTTTGAAAAATGTCATGATACAAATAAGTTACAATTGTTGCCAAAATGGTAAGTGAGGATTTAGGTAAACCACTTTCCCCATAACTAGCTCATTCAGTAGTAACAAAAAGCTAACCTTTACAAGAAATTTAACAAAATCTAGCATAACCAGATGTACCATATTTATATAAAGGATGAAAAAACAAACAAACTGGTACACAACATTCAACAATCCTAACAAACACTTAAGAATTATCATCTATTATAAAAAGTTGAAAACTTTTAATTTAATTATTACCTCAACACTGGACCTTGATTTCATCCTCTCCAATGTAAAAGTAATATTGTCTATGAATTTTCATGCCCTCCGGAAGATTGCATCTCCAATGCTAATAACCAAAAAACAACATTAAGTATTTACATCAAGCAAACATGCACCTCACTCTCATGCAAATTGACCTGTCACCTGTCAAAACTCAGTGCAATCCATGCACATATCAACCAGCATTTCATGTCTGGCTGAAACATAGCTAGCAACATTAATGATAACACCAACATAACAGGTAGTGCCAGAAAAGACTGAAAACTCTGGGATTTATTATTATTATTATTATTATTATTATTATACAAAATAAAAATCCTGCATTAAATAAAATACTCATCACAGGAGGCAGAATCTTGATTGGCACAGTTAAAAGTACTTGAACAAAAATATGAACTTTGGGCAGTTTATCCACAACTTTGAGCACAATATTCAACACCTTTTCTGAAAATTGAAAAAAAATATAATAAAGAATTAAGCAAACAGACCTTTGTTAATTCTTTTTATTCAAACTTGTTTCCTAAATATACCTTATTTACATACACACACTTTTGATTTCATATTTGCAACACAAAAATCAAAGCCTGATTTCTTCTTTGCTTACTAATTATGTTAAATAATTTTGGTGCTTACAAGAGTTAAAAGCAGATTGCTAATTGCCTCCTCAAATATCTATATTTAGGAAAGAATTGCTAATGCAGTTGATTTTTCTCAAAAGAAAAAAGTAATTTATTTGAGAATGTTAAGTTCCAATCTACATAAAGGATGTTTGCATTGATTAGATTTGTTGAAACAAGTAGAATTGATGTAAATATCAACGTTAACTGCTAATCTAACTTGTAACATTGAATTTGTTTTATCACTTAGTTAACACAATTGATTTCAATGTTTTTAATGAACATACAATTTAACATTTGAGGGTCATTTAAATTTGGTTTGGAATTAATGTGCTTTCATTTGGTTTTGCATGTACTTTCATGTGTGGTGTCAACTTTTAAATTGATTTCTTCAAACTTGCACTCTTCAGATACAGAAAAATCTATTCCTCTCTCTCTCTCTCTATATATATATATATATATATATATATATATATATATATATATATATATAATGTCTTTCATTGAAATGCCTAACAAGAAAGAATTAATTAATCTTTTATTGAGTTTTTCCAGCATTCTAACATTTCACTTTTTCTGGTGTTAAAGAGTATGAAAATGATCTATAGCTGTTATTCTGAGCACTTTCAGCTAGTTCTACAACCATTATTAGGGATGTTGGTTTTGGTATGGTGAATTTTGTGTGTTATCTTCTACATAGTTCAGCTTTAAGAAGTTCTTGTGGCAGAGTGTTCACATAGTTAAACTCCTATGTAGAAAACACACAGAATTCACCTTTTTTTTCTTTCTCTCTAGCACATACACATTGACCATAGTCTGCTTTCATTTTTCCAACAATTTAAGACTATTTTATTCTTTTTTTGGTGGGGTGGCAGAGAAGGGGAAATGGCAAAATATCTTTGTATATAAAAATTTATTCTGAAAAATTCTTTCATTTCTTTTGAATGATAAAATTATTTGTTCTTTTACTTTCCAATATATTTCTTATAATTTATCTTCATATTCCTTATTTTCTGCAACTTTTAACTCCCACCTTGCTTTGTTTTCCCTTTGTTCAATAAAATATTTAAAAATTTCCACCTTTTGAATTTTTCTGTAATCCAATGCTTTTATACATTCCTGCTCCAAAATGAGATCTGTTTTTAAACACTTGTCTGATAGCAAACTATGTTCACTTTACAGCTTTTTTTTTTTTTTTTTTTTTTTTCTCAATAGTAGCAATTGGTGAAATTCAAAATTTTCTAGCTTTCAAGTCATTCCCAAACTGACAATTCTGCACCCTTATAATTTTGTTTAGTATTTAACTAAAGCATTGTTTTTGTTATTTCTTATATCTTTTGTAAACAGTGCTGCCACTGAGACTACAAAGTCTAAGTTGTCAAGATCCATTCATAATTGGTAAAAACTTTCCTAAATTTAATAGATGAATGGTAATATTCACCCATTTCCTTATAAGGAAACATTTAGTATTCATTGCAGCCAATGCTACTTTCAGTTGAAATTTATAAAATCTTTCTCTTAAAACCAATTTTCAGGAAAATTGGTTTCTCATGTCCACTGTTATAACCCTTTCCATTGGGGGTGGGGGTGCTTCCTTCCTTCCTTCCTCAGCTCAAACATGTTTAGTTATTGCAATTGTGCCAGCTTTTAAATATTTACCATCTTGATAATGATATTCATTGGTAATGAAATTAATGTATTATAAACCATTTTTGAAATGCCTAGTCTATATATTTATCTGGGTTCAATCAGATTTCATTTGTTATAATAAACATTTTACTCATCCTAAGATTGGATATTGTTTCATCTGGCAAAATTATGTGATGTTTGTATTTACAATGTATTTTTCTCTTCAATACAAAATTGTAGCTTTTAAGCTTTTCAATATTGAAATATACTGGATGTAAATACAAAACATATGTAAGCAAGCATATTTATCAGCTGTTTATTTTTGCCTTACCCTTATTGTACAAATAACGGATCTTTTAAAAATCTACAGGAATTATCTCAAAAGGAATATTAGTTGGTTTATACATTAGAGCCTATTATTTATATTTTAAAAATGTTGTCATTAAAAATATCTTTATTTTTATATATATATATATATATATATATATATATAATAAAAGGCTTAAACACTAATATTCCATGGTCATAATTTATTCCATTGGAATCGTAAATACGATCCAATTCATCAGACCTACAAATTCAAAAAGAACACAGAAAAGAACAACTCCAGAAATAAAAATAGAATGTAAGTATGAGAGTGTGGGACGAATGTTAGTGTTAAAGAGAGGGGGGTAATAGACGGAGAAGGTGGGAGACTAAAACTTAACAGAGAGGGGTTTTTTCTAACTAGAGGTGAGTGGAAGGGGAGAAATATGAATGTTGTCGGATGTCTAATACACTAAAGATACATTTCATGGTGACATACACACACCATAGATGATCTAATGTTAAAGATCAGAATAGGAGGGAGGGAGAGAAAAGGAAAGACGGGGTGGTGGAGAGAGATGGGGTGGGGGAAACTAAAATTGAAGGACATTTACTGAAAGGGCTGCTGTGTAATTGAGAAAATTTGACAAAATTAATATCGACTACAGGTTACAAATCAAATACAATCATATAAAGAATAAATATAACGATTATCTAATCTAGCAAGGACCTATATTTTTATGTTCAAAAACACATGCGAATCCACACATACACAATAACATACACGTATATACATACACATAGGCATGTACACACATGCACATATCCACATAAATACACACCTGCACATACATACATACACACACACACACACATATATATATATATATATATCTGATTCAATATGTTAGCTCTCTCTGATACTGAGCACTTTCTAATAAGTACCGCGCATATAATATACAAATAATTACACCTACATATATACATACACATATATACACTTATACACACACATATCCACCCATATGCATATACACACACTTTCCACATACATAAATACATGCACACACACATATATATATATATATATATATATATACACACACACACACACAAAATAATGTATCCCTGTATCTATCCGTCTAACTATACATACATACATATATACATATACATACTCATATAGATACGAGTACATACATACCAAAACATACACACACACACACACATCTACATATATATCCATCCATCAATATACATGTACCTATATACATCCATACATACATATACCTATATACACACACACCTACATAGCTATACACACACACACACATATATATATATATATATATATATATATATATATATATATATATATATATATTTTGAAATCTAAAATTTAAATAAGTAAAATTTCAAAAATTTGGTGGGTAAAGAGAAAAAAAATAAGGAAATTATGACCATGGAATATTAGTGTTTAAGTCTTTTTATTATATCCTTACTCTGTCCTGGACATTGAGTTCTACCTGGATTCTATCCTCTCGGAATTTTTTTATTCAAAAAATATACATGTATGTGTATGCACCTACGTAGAGATAGATATATATATATATATATATATTATAATAAAATGATACATTGATATTATAAATAGTGTTATTGTTCTATAAAAAGACTTTTTTCTTTTTACTCTAACCCCACCCGTTTCCCATATTTTCTCTCTCCACTTGTAATCTGTTAACTACATGGCATCTAAAAAATATTTAAATAAAGTTTTTAACATTTATTAAAATTATAAATTTTCTATATATAATTAAATGGTTTATGAAATTTAATCTAAAATGCTTTTCTAAAACAATCTCGGTGAACTGGAGAGCTCCACTAAAAATGACTACTATTAGTAGTAGTAGTTATTTGGACTTTGCTTGCTTTTTATTGCTAACATTGTGAATTAAACAAAAATAAAATTGATGGGAAAGTTCATTAATCAAAGATTAAAAAAACTATTTTTGCATAAATTTGAAGAAAATATTCCTTCAAAATGTAAAAAAAAAAAATTTATTTTTTTTAGTTTATCATTTTCAATTGAAGAATCTTTTTCTATTTTACATAATTATCTTCAGCTGATTTGTTCTATTCTACATCTTCTCTACTATTACAGTTAAGAAAATTATAGATTATAAAGTAAATCCTATCTATACAACTATCAAACTTTTGTATGTTTTTGCTAAAAATAATGTAACCTGGATTTGGTATATATTTGACATTTGTTTTTACATTAACAAATATAAAGATGTTTTATTGTGCTGAAATATGTAAAACTGTTTCTTATAAAATTACCAAAAGTTGTTGCCATGTAACTTGTATATCATGTTTAACCTTTTTGCACTCTGCATCATTATTAATATTGCTTCCCTTTTCACTGCATTCTTTTTCAAGGCCTCTCAATTGCAGTAACATTGTTAATTTCAAAGGTATTTTCTGTTGCCATAGCACGATATGACAACACAACTATGAAATTCAAACAAATCTTCAGTGGTCAGATAAGAATTTGTGCAGCAAATGAAGTCACATAATGATAAATGTTAATAAATTAATAAAAACTATGAAAGTATATACATTTAATATATGTACTTATTTAGAATAGAAAAATTAATAGCAAAAAAATTGCATTTATAAATTTTCTTTTTTAAAAGTAACAGCAACTGAATATAACATTTGTTTTTACCATTTCTTTTTCTTTCTGATTCTCATAAAAATAAACATAAAAAGCAAATTGTTGAGCACAAGGTCATGTTAAGTTCCCCAGTTGATTGGGATTATTGATTTAACCAAAACTTCTAAAAACGACATCTTAAAAATGGTTTTAAATTAAAAATTGGTCATTGTGTTGTAATTTTTTTTGTAATTTTGTAAGTTATTTTGTCAATTAGTGACTAGACAAACTAAATTCAGCTACCTGAAATGATGATTTAAATCATCCTTCTTAGATTTCTATTTCAATTCTCTATCAACCAAGCTGTTCTCTGATAGATATTTCTTGTAGCTTCTATTTAAGTTATATTCCATGGGTTGCTGGTTCCCTCCCTTGACACAAAATCTGGTAGTATGTCAGTATTCTGGTATCTTTGTCTATCTATTCTTCTTGTCCAAAGATGTATTTATGAAATGTTTTGTTTCAGGTTAAAAGTCAAGGTAAAAAGACCTACACTGGAATCAAATCCAAAATTGAAGATTTTTACAAGGTTTGTTTTATTTCATTTTTTTATTTTTTTATTTTTTTTAAATTTTTTTATTGCTTGTCTCATTTGTTTTTTAACTTAGCTCTTTATAAATCTGTTTTTCTTATTTCATCCCACTCTATTAGCATGGATGTGTTTGGTTGCTTTCTTTCCCAACCTTGGAAGAAAAAAAAAAAGTAACAATAGTAAAGCATTGTAGATTTGTGTGAGTGTGTGCGCGCCTAATATGTAAATTTTTTTCCCTCTCCCTGCATGTTTTCCATTCTGTTAGTCTTATACTTATATCCTTTGCTGAATCTCCACCTTTTTGATAACCTATTCACCTGTTATAGTATTTTAAATGTTGCCTTTAGTATTTGCAGTGACATTTTAGTTCTTTTAATATTAGTGATTTTAGTAGCATGAATAGAATAAATTTGGCCATGATTCAAGCTGCCTGCAGTTATATATTCATTTAGTCACACCACCCCCCCAACACACACACACACACACACACACACACACACACACACACACACACCCCTTCTGAACTTAAAAAGTATTATGGGCATTTGTCATAATTGTTACATTTTCGGAACTGGATTTTCTTATAATGACCATTATTTTCAGATTTTTTTTTTCTTTTTCCAATGGCATTTTGTTGTCATTAAAGAAGTCTCATATTTTCTCTCTAATTAGTTTGGACTTGTAAACTATGGAATATTCAATTAGTATAATTATAAAACATAAATTAGTAATTTAAAAAAAAAAAATTAAATCAATATTTATTTTTTAAATTAGCCACTGGAAGAGTTGAACCTCTCCATTCACCATTTTTTTAACAACTTTTATGAGCTATTCTCAAAGATTGTGTCATAAAACATGTATATGGCAAAAAGGCTGAAAATTTTTAAAAGTATACCACTGTAAATAATTTGACCTTGCATAACAATAAATAACATTTTAGAAAAAAAACTAAAACAACAATTCTTACTTTCTATAAAGAAACTCTTCAACAGTTCCTTCTTTCAAACAACTGATATTACTCCTAAATAAACTTCCTCCAAATATTTAGCCATAAAATTTGATTGATTTGTGAATTTTAGTCCATTATTCTAATTGTCATTGACTTAAATCCTAATTTCATCAAAGCTAGATCTATATAAAATTTTATATTTGTGCAGATTTTCATCTTTAAACACAATGTTTCCTTCTACAATACTTTTTATTTAGATCCCTAATAGTATTTAACAATATGGGATTATTAAAACGCTCCCTCCCACCTCAGGCCTTGATTTCCATAACGGAGGGTCTTTCATGAATCCCGAGGATCAAAACCTTCCACCAGGAATTGATTGATAACAAAATATATAATTCTATAATTTCTTTAGATCAGTGACCATAATCCCATCAATTAGTTCAAGTAGATCAATTAGAATTTCAGTCCTCCTTTTTTTTTTTTTTTTTTTTTTTTTTTTATCCAATAAATTGTAGAGAGGGTAGATAATTAATAACAAATTTATAAGTAGCAATCATAAATGAAAACTGACATGCTGTCACTAGTGAGATGCTTTTTTTGTTTTTATCTGAAAATCCTGGAAACTATCAAAATAGTGCTGCATGGCTTTAGGAATGCTTTGACACTGAGCCTAGAGATCTTTTCAAATTTTAAGCATTGTGTGGGTGGAGGGGTTCTTGACTTAAATCGTTACTGGCCCTTTTATCAGGGATTGGATCCCAAATAGGTGATCAAGTCGTGCAACACTTTTTTTTTTTTTTCTTTTTCTTTTTTTTCTTGTATAATTTTATTTTGTAGTGTGAGAAGAGTTGTGCTTGAAATGTTTTGAAATACTTTCTAGAATTTCATTTTTCTGGCACTAGTTTTCCTCAGCAGCCATGCTTGAATTTGGTATAAACTTTAAGTGTTCTGTTATTTTTCTCCATGTCAATAAAAAAACCTGTTACTAAATTGTTGCTTGCTCTGATTGGCAACAATGTCAGTTTTAATATTTAGTCAATAGAGGGGGGAATATGAAGCTTTATAATAGATTGACCCTCTACTTGAAGAATGAATGGAACAAATCCATGTTGTCTCCTTGTGTCAAAAAAAAAAAAAAAACGATTGTTACAACTAAAGAGTAATTGGAATAAATTTACTTTCTTGTCTATGGCTGCAAACATTTATGTAGATAGACATTCCGGAGATGTCCTGTAGGATCCTCTTTCTTTCTCTCTCTCTCTCTCTCTCTCTTCCCCTTGACACTATGCACTTTTTATTTTCTGTCCTTCCCCCTCAGGATGACCTGATCCCAGGAGGTAACAGATTTCCAAATCTGAGGGTCCGTCATGAATCTGGAGGATCAAAACCTTCCACCATTTATGGGTCAGAGCTCAAGTCAGTGCGGGTAAGCCAGATGCCTGGATGTCCAAGTTGATGTAGATTTCTCTCTCTCTCTCTCTCTCTCTCTCTCTCTCTCTCTTCTCTCTTATTTTGTCTGCTTCAATTGCTGTTCATTTTTATTTCTAAGTTGTCTATTATTTGAAGGGCTTGCTATATATGTGTGAACTTTACAATGCTTTTTGTATAATTTCATCTGCTGCAATGAAGATCTGTATATTTTCTGCAAACCCCCTCCTTTTACTCTGATTTGGTACTTGAATAAAAAAGCAAAATTTACTCAAGTCTGTCCTTTTTAAATAACATTACTTTTTGTGCTTTATCTTCTAACAAAAAGATGTGAGAAACTTTTTTTTTTTTTTTTATAAATTTTTAATATTTTCAGCCTAAAAATCTAAAATCTTCTAACAGCAGCAGCAGCAGCAGGCATCTTCTATTCTGCTTGTGCATTAAAGCCAATGGCACTGTTATTTGAAGCTTTATTATAACTTTTGAATGATTTGGAATTTTTTTACATTTGGAGTTAGACTGATTTTAAATCCAAGACTATAAATTACATTTATACTTGTTTTAGTACCACATGCTACCAATATGGATGTGTTTAGGGTAAGATGAAGTCCATCTCTGTCCAGGTTGTTTTTTGAATTCAGAAGCCTAAATCAGGTTAAAGGATCTAGTTTACTTTACTATTTCACCTATAGCTAGGAGTAGAAGTGCTGGATTCATGTTTCCCAAGGCTACTAGTACAAAATGATCTTCCAAATATATTATGGCCAAAACTTTGTATATTTTGATTAGATTAATATAAAAAAAAATTGTAATATAGGAAAAAAATAAATATTTTTGCTCTTAAAAATCTGAGGGTAAAAAAATTTTCTGCTAATAATGCATTTTATTTATTTACTATTTTCAAATTTATGGTAACATATTTATCTAGTTAGAAAAATATGAGTGGGTGCTGAAAACTTCTTGCTCAGATTGTGGGAAATTGGTTCATCTGAGAACTTTGCAACATACCTTGTGTGTGTGTGTGTGTGTATATATATATATATATATATATATATATATCATCCAGACACTGCTTTGCTGTATCAGTGTGGCTAGACAGTTTCTTTTTGCAAGATTGTTCTTAGCAATTTGGCCTGTCAAGGTTCATAATGGATGTAACAGTAACTTTTCATCTCATAGTAACATGCCAATGGAACTGAATACAGGGAGATGTAGATTTATGTATACTACTTAAATTATTAGGACTATTGTCCTCATCTTTGTTGCCATATTTATCTCAACGTTTCAGCTGTTGTATGCTCCAGCCTTCTTAAGGTGGTTGGAATGTCGAACTGAACCCTTTATTTCGTTTGCTGGGGTAGACTGTTCTCGTTCCACATGCCATGTCTAATAGATGTCAGTTATCTCGTCTTAATTCCCCTCTCCAAGTTCTCCACTGCCTTAACCAAGTATTGGAAAATTTGTAAACTTAAGGAATCAGCACATATTCTAGGCCACAAAAATCTCCTGAGCCGACCAAGCATAGAAATGAATACAATATGGAAACCAGTAATAAAGAATCCCAGAGAAAAGCAATAATAACAAATTGCAATATGAGCTCTGGTTAAAAAAAAAAAAAAAAAATGCAATGACAACAGCAAAAATTACAATATGCGCACTGGTACAAATGGTTAATGAAGCCATTAAGTTTATAAGTCCCAGAAATTCATATACAGATGTCATTAAGGATACATGTCACAGTGGATAAAGGCATTGGTTAGATCCAGTGACAGGATCCAAAGAGTTGTGAGTTCAATACCTTGTTAAGGCAGTGGAGAACTTGGAGAGGGGAATTAACAGAAGATAACTGATAACTGACATCCATTAGACATGGCACGTGGAACTAGAACAGTCTACTTCAGTGAGCGAAATAAAGGGTTCAGTTCGAGATTCCAACCACCTGAAGAAGGCTGGAGCATACAACAGCTGAAACGTTGTGATAAATATGGCAACAAAGATGAGGACAATAGTCTGAATAAGGTTAACAGTGTACATAATACCTCATCTCAGAAATATAGACAGATACTGTGGATTTATGCCTTTGTACAGGTCGTGAGTGCTAAGTGAACATAAGCAGCCAGTGTTGGAATTTGGGCTTGATTTGCCAATTCCGTTTTGCATTCTGACACCTGTTATGCCATAATTCTCCCTGACATTCTATGATACCTCACCCATTGACTGTATAAATGATGGGAATTCCCATTGTAGAAACTTATGCTGCAGGTGAATATGATTGAAATAAATACTGTTGTGCTTTTGTGATGAAAACAATGATTATTTATCATTAGTTTTTGATTTCCACCATCTTTGCAACATCTTGCCCATCATCCCCTGCCCAAGTAGTTGAAAAGAGACAAAATATGTTTCAGGCTATTTCAACTTGAATCATCTTTTGCTCTTTGACTGAATTAATTATCAACAATCTCTGCTATAAAAACTAGATTCTAAAACTAAATTTGATAAATAATTTTTATTCTTTTAATTAACATGTATACATATTTTTTTTATTTAATCTTTGAATAATGCATAACAATTTGCTAACAAATAAATAATCCTTTTAAGTTCATCTGTCATGGATTGTTCACTTACAAAGATATTCTAATTGCAGATGGAAATACTTTTGTATTGTGTGTTTGACTTCCACTACTAATTCTGTAAATTATTTAACATTTTTTTCTATATATTTTTTTTTTATCTCCTTTTAGTTATTAGTCAATATTTAGCCAAGTCTGACACATGATTCAAAGTAACTGAACATCTAAGGAGAATTAAACTCTTTACATTAGCAATTTGCCTGCAATCCTACTTTCCTATTACTCTATGCCAGGTGGTGAATAGATGAATTGTAAGGAACAAATAGTTTGAGATATTTATTGCATTCAATGTACAATTTAATGCTATGTAATCGGGTCAGCCTGATAAGACTCCGAGTTGGTTGTATGTGGTGCTGTAAACACCAGCAGTTGGCACCACCTACTCTAAGTATAAGGTCTTCTCTCTGTCTTTTATTGGGCTGACCCATTTTATGTCTCAAAACTGTCCAAGAAAATGGGAGAAGAGATATTTCAGTGCCAGTATCTTCTCCAGCCTGGCACTACCTGTGATCGGGGTCCAGGTTGATGGGAGAACCATCACTGCGTTGGTCAATACAGGTTGTTCACTGACTATTTCCATGTGAATGATACTGGGCAGGTATTAGCCAATAGGCAGCACCACCTACTCGAAGTAGGTTTTCTCTCAACAGCCAATTGTGGGAGGGGACACAACTCTTGGTGCCTACAGCACCGTATACAACCACCTTAGAGTCTTTTATCAGGCTGACCCAATTCTCTGTTACATTTTATGCAGAAAGTACAATTTAATGATGTTACAAATCTCCAATGACCATTATGATTTTTGTCTGTTTTTTTTCATGAACTCTGTTTACCCCAACAACATGGGTTTTTCCAACAGGATAACATATTGTCATTGGGCTTCCTCGGAATTGTTTTTTAAGTAGCACTCTGGACCATTTTGACAAATGGTGTCACCATAATGCTCAACCTGACATGAGCTCAATCAAGCAATTATTGAACATGATGAGGAAGTCTAATTCTATGCAAGATCCTGTGTCTACAAATATGGACATGGCTCAACATCTTTCCAGTTGTCTTCTGACAATTTGTGGAACTGATATCATATGTTGTTACCCTTTGTCAGGCACCTATCCCATGACTTTTAAAACATCAGTTTTCCAATTGACACACTGTTTCAATATTTTCTCAGCACAAATCTATATAAGTTTTATATAAAAAAAGGTATTAAATTCTCCCTTGAGTTTGTTTTTTTTTTTTTTTATTTGCCATTGCTTATGGCATTATAATAAGATAATGTTTAAAATTTATTGCAATATTAAATGGATTTTGTATTACTTAAGTTACTGTCTTTGCTAAAATGTTGAAATTTATTGGATTCTATAGAAATGTTTATAAAATGAGTTTTACATAACATTTGATAATATTGAAAATCTAGTTTACTTTTGTAAATTTAATAAATCACATGTTTAAAGGGCGAAAATACTTAAAATATGTAATTTTTGTATTTAAAAAAAAAATAAGCTTTTGAATGCAGACATTTTGTTAGTTCTATCCAGTTTACTGCCTGTTGTCATGACAACCTGCATGTTAAATTTTTGGGAATCTTGTTTAAACCTGATTCTTTCATTGCATATTTAAAAAAATTTTATTCTGAATTTTTGATTGACATTTTACTGAATTTTCAAATATATTTTCACACCTCCCACTTGAAAGTTAAATAATTTGAGTATATGATTGCTTCAAAAAATCACTTTTGTAATGTAAGAAAATTTAAAAAAAAAAAAAAAAAAAAACTTAAAAGAAAAAGATATTAATGTCTGTTGCTTATATTGACATTTTCCTGATATAACTTATTTGTGCTTAACAGAATTGAATCTATTTTTCAACTGGGAAGCAGTTTTTTGTAGATTTTCACCATTTTTCTACACACTCACACGATTTGGAAAAGTTTGGTCATTTGAATTGTTTATAGAAGTCAGATTGAGAATGTTTTGTTTACTTACTGAAGAAATAAAATATTGTCTCAATTTATTTGAATAATAAATTTCCAGTATTAGTTCAAAAGTGTTAATATTCAAACTCCTCCACACACAGAAAAAATATATAATCTCTAAAGAATTAATTTATTTAGAATCCAACATTACTTTTTATTACTTTAAATATTCTATTGATTATATGGACATGTTTGAGTAGACATCCATGTCTTTAAACTATTTAGAAAACACTTTTAAATAATTTCAAATAGTCTAAATATTACTATTGTCCAGTGATATTGAATCTTTATAAAGAAAATGTGACTTTTGGCAGGGTTCAAACCTGCTTCTCTCTTGTAGCTAATTGAAATTTGCTTGACTTTCACTAAGCTGTCTAAAAGCAAACTGGGCTTAGTGTTTTGAACTATGATGGAAAACATATTTTATTCATTAAGACTCTCAAATACACAGACCATTTACACTCAAATACATATATCCACTAAATAGAATATTAAAATTAATAAGAAACTATATAGTAAAGCAGTACAATATATCTGGTCGGAGGGGAATGGTCTTACGATTTGTAAATTTAATGTTCTATGAATTGCAAGAATTTCATCTTTTCAATCAGATGAAATATAAAGTTTGGTCCTTTGGAAAGTATTTTTATTTTGTTTTCTTATATTTTGAGAATTTTATTGTATAAAACATTTTGCAATTTTTTCTTTTTCTTTGTCCTCTTTTTCTTTGTCCTCTTTTTCTTTGTCCTCTTTTTCTTTGTCCTCTTTTTCTTTGTCCTCTTTTTCTTTGTCCTCTTTTTCTTTGTCCTCTTTTTCTTTGTCCTCTTTTTCTTTGTCCTCTTTTTCTTTGTCCTCTTTTTCTTTGTCCTCTTTTTCTTTGTCCTCTTTTTCTTTGTCCTCTTTTTCTTTGTCCTCTTTTTCTTTGTCCTCTTTTTCTTTGTCCTCTTTTTCTTTGTCCTCTTTTTCTTTGTCCTCTTTTTCTTTGTCCTCTTTTTCTATGGTCACATTATTTTGTTGTATTTTATACCATAATTTAGAATTGAATTTTTTTTTAATTTTTTTACTGTGTTTTTATGCCTCTTATTGAAATCTTGCAGCCTCCTCGTCCACCGCCACGCAGCAAGTCTAGTGTGGTCCGTTCTCCAAAAGTCTACACTCGCAGTCCAGACAGGTCAGTTTTCTTGTCTTCATTTGCATCACAAACCGCATGTAATCCAAATATTATCATTTATACTTATTTAGAAATATAATTTTGACTCGTTTGTAAATAAACCGGTTTTGCCAAAATACAAATCGAATATTTGCGATCTTGCCAAGTTTTATGTTCCCTTTGACAATGAGTTTATCAACTACATTTTTGGAATATTTGATGGAAAATGAGGATTCCTGAAAAATGTATTTGCAGTGACAGATCACATCACTTTAATATTTTTCTAAACTTCTTAATTTAAAAAATGTAGGACAATTTTTTTTTTTTTTTTTTTTTTTTTTTTAATATTAAAAAACAAAAAAAAAATACAAACTTGTGAAAATTTTTGTTGGTCCTTGTCCCCTCGCACAAAAAAAAGCAGTAATTTTATAATCAGAATCATAAATTTGTCCACATAAAATTTTTTTTTTTTTTTTTTTTTTTTTTCTCTTTGTCTATTGCAAATTTATTATTTTAGGAATTTAATCATTGGCAACTTTTGAGTTTTTTGGTTAATCTGAAAATCAGCTGTCTGTTAAAATCAGCATTTTCAGTTATTCTGAAAAATATTTTGTAAATTATGAAAAGGAAAATGTCCACCATTCTTTTTGGTGTTCATTCATTTATTCTAATTCTATCCCCCCCTCCCACTACTTTTGTACAATAATTTTCTTGGTTTTGCAGAGAAAACATCTACAGCTGCAAATTCCATTTACAGTAAGTGTCATCTTTGAACTAATTTTCATATTGTACTTTATCATTTCAGTCGTTCCAGACATTACCGTCTGATTAGCGTGGAAGACAAGACAACAGATGACATAGACCTGTTGCGAACACAGAAGTTAAGTGTCAACCTGATGGATGACCCAGACATACAAAATGCTATCCGCAAATCTGTTAGTATGGAGGAGATTACCCATCAGGTATGAATGGCAACAGGAAAAGGGGATAAAAAAACAAAGCAAAAGGCCTGCTTAGGAAGTATGCGCATATTCAACAAACAATATCTTAAGATGCACTTATGCTTCTGAAGTGTCTGCACAGCTTTAAATGCATGAACATTGCAATGCACTACCAGAATGTTCTCCTAGTGTTGAAATGCATCTACATACATACATAGTTAATACTACACTTATATATACACACACACACATAATTTAAAAGTTGTTCTAATATATTTCAGTAAATTTATATTTTATTTTTTAAGCCCTTATATATAAAAAAAAAAAACTGTAGATGGCAGATAATTTAGATTTTCTAACATTGGTCTGTGGCCCAAGAAGCCACTTTCCCCACCACTCCCAGAAGGAAGGAAAGAGTGTAGTCTCAAATCGGTAACATCATCCTACTTCACCCTACTTCATTGCCTAAAGAGGAATTGACATCAAGAAATATCTTGGCATCTTGATTGATGTGCCTGAATATTTCTAAAAAAAAAAAAAAAAAAAAAAAACTTGTGGTAATGTTATGTTTTTTTGCCACATGTAGGCATGCAGATCAATAATTTATACATTTTTCTGATGTTTTAATGGCAAAGGATATGCAGTCTCATACAGACAGGCTTTCATGCATATCTGTAATCCATATGCACACATATGCAGTAGGGCATATACTGCAACCTCTTACACTATATATATATATATATATATATATAGAGATATGCATGTTTACATAAAGACACACACACATATATATATATATATATATATATATATATAAAAATATAAAAAAGCATGTAACGTATGCATGATTGAGCTGATATATAGGTAAATATACATGTTTGAACATTTAGATGTTGTTCCACTTTCTTATTCAGCTGCTGTGTTTTTTGTTTTCTTTTTTGTTTTCCTGAAGAATCCTATTTGTCTTTGTCTGCCAGTGGCTTTGAATAAATCAGATAAACTGTTAAAAACCAAAAACAGGTTGCATGGCAACAAATGGAAGTAAATTAAATTTGCAAGAAATCAAGAAAGGACAACAAAAAAAAGCAAAACCTACAAAGTGCTTCAGTGGATAGGGAACTTTCAAGCTTATGGCAAAAGAAAAATTAAAATATGAAATTCATAAAAATACAAAATTCAATAATAAAATGTACCAACAGCAATTGTAGGATTTCTAATGTTTTTTCTTTTTTTTTTTTTTCTTTTTTTTTTATTTATGGATTTAAAGCCAACAATACCACCACCTCCATTTATTTTGCAGTTTATGAAAATAAACATTTTCTTATTTCCATCTCGTATATATAGTATTAGCTTTCAAAAATGATTAAAGTGAAACCTTTCACTTCAGAGGCATTTCAATAAGCTTTCTAAAGTTTAGAATGTATTGAAAACACTTTAGTGTTTAAGTCAGTGGAGTGACTACATCAATTTTTTTTAAGTGACACAATTATTTTTTTTTATTGTTTTACTCTTTCCTAAATAGCAAGTATATCTTTTGGGTCATGTCTTTCATTAATACACACAATGTTTTCCTTTTTGATAAAATGTTTAAATATGGCTGACCTATGGCTTTTCTGACTGGACAGATTATTTTCCAAATTTTCTAAGCAAATTTATGATGTGTCATTTCTAAAACTTGAGGATGTGAAACTATGTATTATGTTGTTGTAAACTCTTATTTTTTTTATATGGATTCTGTATTAATATTCTCTGCCCCAAATTGCTTTAAACTTTGATTTCATAACTCTACTTAAGACACCAGTCTTTGTTTTAATTTATATTTAACTTTCAGAAGTTTAAACCCAAAATAGGATTTAAAAATAAAATATTGGAGGATTAAAAAAAAAATTACTTTAACATTTGCCTATTGATGAAATAATAGCAAAGCATCTCTTTGTGGTTTAGTCATCTGATAGTCCTTTGTAAATTTGGAATCCTGAATCTTACTTGGAGTTCACTGGGGGGGGGGATGCTTTCACTATAAAAGGAATAGAAAATTGTTTTGAAATTTCTTTCAACATAATTTCCTTTTTAGGAGGAGACAGAAAATAATGAAATACCTTTTTAATTTTTTTAGCTAAAGTTTACTGAAAAATAAAGGCTTCAGTTTAGTATTGCTAAAATATTTTCTTATATACTGTTTACTTTTGTTCTCTTATTTTGAAGTAAGAAATAGATCAGAGCAATTAAGATTCAATAAAAAAAATCTTATTTAATAACAATACATTTTTATCTCTAAAAAGATTTGTATGCTGAATATGCCAATAATATACACATCTATTTTAAGCTAACAAAACATGACAAAATTAAAAAAAAACGTTTAATTTCATTGTTGTTTCTGTGTTGGTCAAGCATAAATATGGTTTTTTTTTTTTTTTTTTTTTTTTTTTCAAAGTAGCTTCAAAGAATTGTTGTAAACTGATTTGTAAAATGCCACTTGTGTGGTTAGAATATCATTTAAAAATAAATATTTTAAAAAAAAAAACAACTGTTTTTTTATGAATCTAATTTTATTTGATTTTGATAATTCAGTTTCTGTTCCTATTAAACCAACCCTGCTCAAAAAAAAAAAAAAAAACCCTTCTGTAAACTCCTAAGTTCCTTGTTTCCCACTAACAAACATTTTGTTTTAATAAGTAATTCTTCAAGCTTCTATCTTATGGCAATTTTTTACATAAGACTTTTTCAATCACTTTCTCATGTAAATTCTTAGTTCTTTGAATAGTCTGGCAAAATCCAATGTTTATATTTTGAAATGAATTCTATTTTTTTCATTCAATGAACATCTCAAACATTAATTAAATGTAGATACCTCCACAAAATCGCTAAAAAAAGAGCATAGCTTGATGAAAAAGATGCCAACCTTGCCAAAAACAAAATTTTATCATCTAAATGCTTATGTTATTATTAAGAGGAAAGACCAAAGTTTTTTTAATTATTTTTAAAAATTTTTCCTTTTTTAGAACATTCTAAATTTTGAATTTTTTTTTTTTTTTTTTTTTTTTAAATGAGGTAAATAATTTGTTCACTTAAATGTAAATTATTTCACTTTTCTCCTTCTGTAGAACAAATTATCCTCACGGATGTCATTCATCACCTGTCAGGTGATGCAAAAGTTTATGCTTTGTTTTATTTTCAAATTACATCTTTTTGGTGCAGAAGCTAAGTTAAGCTTGGTTCAAAATATTTTAAATAAACATAATTTCTGATTTTCTTAAAATAAGTTTTGAAAAAATGATAATTGATATTTAAAAGAATTTCAAAGTGAGATTTCCAGTTTTTTTTTTTTTTTTTTTTTGTTATAAAATGGAAAAAAAAAAAAATGATCAATTTTGCTGACTCAAAAATTTTTTTAACAATTTCGGGCATGCTAGGAACGACTAAAAAATGTAAAAAAATACCCCAAAAATACTTTGATCCTTCTTCTTAATAACATAAACATTTAGATGATAAAATTTTTTCGTCAAGTTTGGCATCTTTTTCCTTATGCTATGCTCTTTTTTTAGTGATCTCATGGAGGTAACTAATTAAATGTTTTTCATTGAGTTTATTTGAAGCTTTTTTTTTTCTTTTTTTTATATGGTAAATTTATAAAAACAACTTTATCAACTTCTGTAACCTTTTACAGAATAATCAAGTTTGACTTAAATTAAAAACTTCAAATCATTTAGGTTGATTTTTTTTTTTTTACTCAAGAAACATTGCATATTTAGCCTTTTTTTTTTTTTTTTTTTTTTTTTGACTGATTTTTCTTGGAAAATAGTTTATAAACATTGAATAAATTTTTCTTTCTTTTTTGTAATAAGACTAGAATCATGAATTGTAAACTTGAACGTTCATTTAATTTTGAAAATCAGTCATTTCTTCCTTTTTGGTGAAGTTTTCTGAGATTTAATTTATGATACTTAATTTTTTAAGAGTGAAAAGTAGAAACGAAATTTATAAATAAAAGGAAATTTTATAAAAAAGGGAATATTTTATAAATAAAAGGGAATATTTTATAAATAAATATTTTATAAATAAAAGGAAATATTTTATAAATAAAAGGGAATATTTTATAAATAAAAGGGAATATTTTATAAATAAAAGGGAATATTTTATAAATAAAAGGGAATATTTTATAAAAAAGGGAATATTTTATAAATATTTTATAAATAAAAAAGGAATATTTTATAAATATTTTAAAAAAATATTTTATAAATAAAAAAGGGAAATTTTTATTTATTAAATAAAAGGGAATATTTTATAAATAAAAGGAATATTTTATAAATAAAAGGGAATATTTTATAAATAAAAAGGAATATTTTATAAATAAAGGAATATTTTATAAATAAAAGGGAATATTTTATAAATAAAAGGGAATATTTTATAAATAAAAGGGAATATTTTATAAATAAAAGGGAATATTTTATAAATAAAAGGAATATTTTATAAATAAAAGGAATATTTTATAAATAAAAGGGGAATATTTTTAAATAAATAAAAGGGAATATTTTATAAATAAAAAAAGGGAATATTTTATAAATAAAAAAATAAATATTTTATAAATAAAAGGGAATATTTTTATAAATAAAAAAAGGGAATATTTTATAAATAAAAGGGAATATTTTATAAATAAAAGGAATATTTTATAAATAAAAGGGAATATTTTATAAATAAAAGGGAATATTTTATAAATAAAAGGGAATATTTTATAAATAAAAGGGAATATTTTATAAATAATTTGGTTTTATTCTTCCTGAATTCATTGAATAATGAAATGCTGAAAAAAAACTGGATTGGTTAAATGTGTAGAATGGCCAAAGCTTACTTCAAGTATTGTTTCAAATTCCACTGGCAGCTTAATTGCTTGTTCTCTATCTAAAAAAAGTGTCTATTTATGTTGCCTGCAATTGTAGTGTCTACTCTCACTCTCTCTTGCATGCTTTTTGTATATGGATTCTACCTGCATGAAATCTACCTCCCATTGTATTTGCTGACAA